GGGACTGGAGCCCTCTCTGGGCTAAACTCGGGGACTGGAGCCCTCACTGGGCTGAACTCGGGGACTGGAGCCCTCTCTGGGCTAAACTCGGGGACTGGAGCCCTCACTGGGCTGAACTCGGGGACTGGAGCCCTCTCTGGGCTAAGCTCGGGACTGGCGGGGACGAAGGAGAGAGGAGAGGAGGCAAGTCGGCTTCCAGCTCAGTTTCCCAGTCTATAAGGTCCCCCTCGAAGTCCAGCAGTCCCAGCTGTATAATCAGCTCACCCTCAGCCATGGTGCAGTGGGCGGAGCTCCACTCCGCGCTCTCTCTGTCCGCGCCATTCTCCCTCGTGGCGGGTTCTGTTGCCAGCTCTCGCACCTTGACTGATGTCACTTGCAGCTCCGTGGCGATCCGTTGCTCTGTCGCTCCATGCGGCAATGGCTCGTCGGCCGTGGTGGGCTCCGGCTCTCCATCAGCGGTGGGCTTGGGCATGTGCTCCGCGCAGTGGGGAGAAGGTGAGCTGGGCACTGGGTCGGGAGTGTATCTGGCGAGATCATTCACTGGGCAGATGGTGAATGGCGATCCATTTCTCTCTAGAATCCACTCCACGAAGGTGGCGAAATCTGCTCGAGGACCATTTTCAGACAACGGCGCTCTGCACGTGGTGTTCAGGCTGGCGTCATAGAACGCGCAGAGCGCGTCGTCCGGATAGCTGGTGAGATTGGCGAGGGCCAGAAACAGTCTGGTGTGGCACTCGAGCAATCTTTCCCCCTGCTCCAGCAGGAGGAGGAGGAATTCAGGGTGGGCAAGGGGATCCATGGACACAACGGAAACAAAAGACACTGAGCAAAAAGCGTGAACAAAAACGTAGGGAACACACGGAGGTAACTGTTTTGGTCTGGTATTCCGTCACGAGCGCTACTGTGTAGGAGCACGGAGTGAGAAACGAGGAGACGTGGAGCAGACTTCAAACTAACAGACTTTAATAGACATGCAACGGAACTAGGAACACACACGTAGCATTCAATACCAGACACAGAACTCTGAATAGGACTCACTTTACATACACAGGACTAGAGGAGGGGATGACGAGAAACACTTGGAACTAATGAAGCAATTAACATGGGAGAAAACTGGGTCATGGAGCACGTGGGGGAGGAAAAACACACAGATAGAGTCCAGGGGCGTGACAATATAGTGAAGAGGAAATTTAATGTTGGAGCAGGATTTGAGTGAACGTCGTTTTACTGGTGAGCATGAGTAGTACTTGAGTGGAGCATTCACTTAGGCCATGATCAAGTGAGTGGAGTGCTTTGGCATAGAGCACAATATTGAGTGAAGCATCACTCCACTCTTCTTCACTCGCATGCTCTGGCATATACCATTAGAAAAAATATTATTTGTATAGAAATAATAATAAGCAGACAAACATGATAAGCTGGATTTGATGTAAAATAAGTAATTTAAATATGTATTAAAATCAATAGACAAGTTTTTATATATTATGTAAATGAAATTCGTAAATAAAATCATTTGATTCCAGACAGATGGGGGATATAAAGTGCCTGTAGTGGCTATAGAAACTGGTTGCATAATTCCAGTCACATAATTATGTTAATGACATAGCTTCTTTGTAATCTTCAATTATAGTAGCTACATGAGTAAAGAAAGTACAAAGACAAATTTCTATCTAACCCTATTTGGACAGGATTAGTTTTTTGAATAATGTTTTGAGTTGACAGTTCTTATCACCACACATCTGTGATTTTAATCTATACATGTCTTACCTGATGCTGATATTAATATGACCAGTCATCGAAGTTACTGCGATATGACGTTGCTTAATTATATAATTCGATTTTATAATTTCATATTTCTATTAGTATTTTGGTAGATACCATCCATATTAAAAAGTACCACATGAGGAAGATTAGTGCATAAACAATAGTTCAGGTTATGCTAAACACATGAGAAGCATTGAGATGATACAATATCAGTAAGCACTGACATTCACATTCAGACGTGATTAGATTTCTTAGTAGACCATTAATTTAGCCAAAAACTGAAGGTAATTTGCTCTGAAATTTTAACACATGGTGTGTGAGAAAAACATAGGCTTGACAAGTTCGAATGGGATTTAAAACAAATTTCTCAAACTAATCCCATCCGAATAAGACTTGTCAAATTTAGTTTTCCTACAGTAGATTAAGGAAACTGAATGAATAGCTCACAAAGTGAAATCTGTTTCAGCATATATTTAATTGTAGATTGTTTGTTTTGAACACACAGAATATATGTATATTTTTTCTGGCTATGTTTAGGTGATCCAGGAGAAATGGGTGAGAAAGGAAATCAAGGACGCTCACAAATTGGAGACCCAGGTCTCCCAGGACCACCAGGTGAGCAAATGCAGCACCACTACTAACATATACATTGTGTATTTAATTTTTGCCCTGAGGTTCTATTATGTATGTTAATAAAGTTTTTTGCTCGTTTGTTTGCAATAAATATAGTTTTCCATGGAAATGTCCCACTCTTTCTGGCCATAGCTGCCATGAAATTAGCAATAGAACTTCACTCTACTCTTGTTGTCAGATCTAATATATTTGACTTGCCAATCTGTCAGTAGCATTCTCTTTGCAAAGGAAGGTTACAGTCTCCATAGTACATCAAGCTAATTTGATTAATACAAAGTTCTGTCATGAACACCAGATGGCACAGGCCGATAGCTTCTAACTTAATCTGACATAATTACATCATTATTCACATGGTGCAGCCGACTGGTTTCTTTTCACATCCACAACCAATGAGGTTGCTGCTCGACATAATAAATCTTGGCTAGTGCTTGCTGTAGCAGTTGCAGTGCGCTTCAGAAACCCTCCACCTTCCCCAGCTCCACCTGTATAGATCTGCTATATGGTGGTTATTTCATATGTTATATGTGCAGCAGCATTATTTCCTGCATGCTCACGTCTGTGGATGTATTGGCAGCAGCAAGTCTCGGTACAGGTCTTGGCAGCAGCAGTGTAGCAGATCTATTCCGCCAAGACCAAACACATTAACATTGCCATGTACATTACTCTCCGAGAGTTGTCATGACAGAAACATTTTATTGATATAAAAACTGCTCTTGCTTCAGCATTTTGGATTTATTTTTCACTCAGCTAGCTAGGGTTTGGAAAAGAACAAATAAGCTAAGATTTGCCAAAGTACCAAAATACGCAACCGAAAGAGACTTCAATATGAAAGTTCACAACAAATTCTTTCAAAAGAGACATGTGGTTTCCAAATTATTTGAACTTTGATATCCAAATTGATTTTAGCTCTGTTAACAATCGTTTCATTTTTATTTTTATTTTTCAAACCATGATGAGAACTCCTTTAAGTCTTCTGAGCTATGAATTGTTCACAATGAATTGTTCCTCTGCAGGAAGGAGAGTGTGGGTAGTGGATGAATACCGGAGGGCTCTTTGGGAAGCTGCCCGCTCTACCTCTCTCACATTTCTGGCTTATGGGTTTCAATCAATACTCGCTCGCTGTGGTCGCCCACAGCAAGCTGTTTGAAAAGTCAGAGTAGCATGAAATGGTCATTATTAAATTAGTGTGATGGACACATTTAGAACACTATTGTATTAAGAAAAGCAAGCTCAACAATTAGAGGACTGAGGCATTAATAGCTCTGAGATGATTTGGGCTTTTGATCAGCGATACATTTTTTGATTCCGGTTCTGTGGTGTAATGTTTCACTATAGAAGTGCGTTACTAGGATGTCATTATGGGGTGGGCATTTGGATATGAGGGGTAAGTAAGTGAAGTCATCATGTGAAGAAAAAAAAAGTAAATTAAAAGTTTATGAACAAACTTTTATTGTTTTGCTTTTATTAGTTTGAAAAAGTACTGAATACAATATTGTTAACAAAATATGATGTGAAAAAAATAACAATACGCTGTGAGATAATAATACTGCACAAACAATATTTTTGAGCAGTGAAGATCCAGAGTTCAAAGAGTGTGATGTTTTGGTATTTTCTCATCAACTAAAATGTTATTAGATGCCATTTTAGTCACAGTAAAAATGGCTTAAACTATTTATAACATGACAAAATATAGTCGTAACACTTTACAAAAGGTTCCATTAGTTAACATTAGGTAATGCACTCAATCTGACATAATTACATCATTATTCACATGGTGCAGCCGACTGGTTTCTTTTCACATCCACAGCCAATGAGGTTGCTGCTCGACATAATAAATCTTGGCTAGTGCTTGCTGTAGCAGTTGCAGTGCGCTTCAGAAACCCTCCACCTTCCCCAGCTCCACCTGTATAGATCTGCTATATGGTGGTTATTTCATATGTTATATGTGCAGCAGCATTATTTCCTGCATGCTCACGTCTGTGGATGTATTGGCAGCAGCAAGTCTCGGTACAGGTCTTGGCAGCAGCAGTGTAGCAGATCTATTCCGCCAAGACCAAACACATCAACATTGCCATGTATATTACCATGCCAAACTCTCCGAGAGTTGTTAGGACAGAAATGATGAGACATATTTAATAATTAATGAAGTCAAGTAATATAGGCAGTCACATTACTTGACAGACACATTATTTTGTTTCAGGTCCAATGGGTCCACCAGGGGTTGGAAAACCAGGTCACCCAGGTAAGCCAGGCCCACCTGGTCACAACGGCGAGGAGGGGAAGAGGGGGCACCCCGGCGAGCCCGGTCAGCCAGGCGTGTGCCATCCTTCCATGTGCTACGGCGCAATGTTGCGAAGAGATGCTTTCAGTAAAGGGCCAAACTATTGACACAGCTTTGGCTGAAATGCAGACAGTCTGGATCCGGTGCTGCTCAGTGAATGAAAGAAAACAATAACAGCGAATCTTTCCAATCTCAGGATGATCATATTTTTCAAGAGTGTCTCACACTCATGGACACATGAAGTACCTCTTAAAGTGTAAATAATATGATGTTGCCTACATTAACACCACCGATTGTCCATGACTCTTATGTCTTTCTGTGTCACAAGCTGAGATGTGCCATGATTTATTCACGCTGTTTGTCATGAGGCATGAAACGCATCAGCCTAATACTTGTGAAAAGCATCCTGTGTGAGGAGCTCTGCAACACTCGCAGTGGAAATTCTACCTAGACATCGACTTCCTTCCTCACTCTCTTGCTCCCCCATGTGGCATTCAACCATCACCAGCCAATCATCTCGTTGTATTTATGAAGGTAGATTTACTGTCCATTTTGCATTTGTGTTTCTTTTTGGTCTGATGTTTCTTTTACTGCTTGCAAGCTTGTCATGGGAGGAGTGGGAGTTCTTCTGCAATGCTTCATGCTTTCTTTCCTATATTGACGTCTCTCCGATATCTATAATAATTCTTGTCCCTTTAGGTAGTGCTTACTAGGGTTCCCACATCTTTTGACCAATGAATTTCCATGATTTTTTTTCAGGCATTTGTGATTACAGGAAACATTAAAAAAATAATCTTAAAATTTTAAATTATATCCTGTAATATTTTAGAGAAAAAAAAATATATACATATATTCAGTATAGAAATGTGTAAGATTTTATTCATATCCACACCTTTACCAGGCCTGGGGTCACAATTTATAATTTTCTGATATTTCAGGTTTTCCATAGTCGTGGGAACTCTTTATTACACTTCAGATTACAAATGTGAGTGTGATTAGATAATATCTATATTAAATGTTTAAAAATGGTAAATTGAACAAATTTATCATATACATTTTAATCCACCTTTCTCTACAGCAAATTGTCATGAAAGACAATTCTGAAAGCATTTTTTTTTTTTACCCTTGGTTGATAAAGGGTGTGTAGTAGAGTGTAATAAAGCTCACTTTCCCATAAATGTATAATTTTTTGTTATTTATAAGAACTGATATCAGTTACCGCTTTTCCTGTGAAAGCGCTTTCTTATATTTTGCAGTGATTTTTTTTTTTTACTTCCATGTGTTTGAATGACTTTTGATAACATTAATTAAACACTTTTTTTATTATGTTTTGTTGCTGTTGTTGCTTCATGTTTTGTAACAAAAATATGACTTATGTGGGAATTGTATAGTATAGTTTCCAGCATGTGATTTGCAGCAATCTTACAATGTTCCACAACAATGTCATACATTAATAGTGGTTTCATGCAAAAACTGAAAATCTCAATGTCTGAGGCACATCCTGTGATAAATTATTTATTTACGTAGTTTAGGTAACATGTGATCCAATCAAATTATTCCAATTGAGTATTACTGATTAAAAAAAGATCATGTTGAAATAGGTAACATAACAGAATGATACTGCACAAATTAACCATTAAGGCTAAAATGCTACTAAAAACTTTTACTGTTAAAAATGCTGCTCTCCTGCAATTGCACTCAGCCTGAGTTCCACTCCTAGATGTCGCTGTTACGCTTTTCTTACATTTTGGATGTTTCCTACTAAGACTTGCCTTTTAGGTTTTCATTGGAGATAACCTAAAATGCTTCACTTTCATGTATTCAAGTGCCGACATACATTGGATTTTTACACTACAAGTCAAATGTTTGGACACACTCATTCTTTTTCACATTTTAGACAGTAAGTAGTCAAGTTTAGTTTAACACAGACTACGTCTTAACACAGACTGAAGTATGAAGTATGATAGATATATATATATA